TGTCTGAATGATACAACTCTTTATGTCTCTGGCCTCTGATTTCACCCCCTTCAATCTGTTCACACAGCAGCTGGTGGATCTTTCTTAAACATCAGTCTCATCGCACGCTCCCAGCCCTTCCAGGTCTCTCTCTATTGCTCTCAGGATAAAGCCCCAAACCCTGGACTTGGCCTTCCAAACCAGGTACCATCTGGGCCCGGCTGCCTGCCCCATTCCTCCCCTCCCTCTATGACTTCCTGCCACTTGGTTTCCAGCTCAAGGTCTCTGCCACGCGGACCTCTCTGTCTCCTGTCCCCAGGCTCAGCAGTTCCTGCCTCCTCATCCTTGGGAAGCCTGTCTGTTACATTTTCTCAGGGTTTCTCCTCTGTTGTATTTATCACAGTTTATAATTTAGCCTTATCTGGGGGATTATTGATTAATATCTCTGTACCCAGCTCAACTATGTGTCTGTCTTGCTTACCAACAGGAACCCGGGCATGGCACATGTAGGTGTTTGATGAATGTCTGGTGAACAATTCTGTGTGACTGGACCCTTTGGAGCCCAGAATCCAGGTTAGGGTATACAGCAGTTGTGAGTTCACACACTCTCTGGCCTGAGGCGGTGGGGCGGCTATCCTTCTGCCCTCACTGGCCTCAGGAGCTCTGGTGGCATAGTGCCTAAGGCACTTGACTGCTAACCAGAAAGTGGGCAGTTCAAACCCACCAGCCACTTCTCGGAAGGAAGATTAGGCAATCTACTTTGGTAGAGATACTGCCTCGGAAACCCAAGGGGGGCTTGCTATGAGTCGGAGATGGCTCGATGGCATATAACAATAATCACTGGTCTCAGTGACATCATTCATCTGCAAAATGGGGTGATCATGATGACACTTGCCTTATCCGGTTACTGGCAAGGTTATTACCAAGATCAAACTGATTATAAGGACTGCTCCAGTCAGCTTAGATGGCCTTGGAGCGGGGGTGGGGTCTGGTTCACCCAACCAGTGCTTGGCACCAGGGTGGACCTCAGGAAATGACAAGTGAACTCTGAGCTTGAGGGAATGAGCTGGAGTGATGGGTGGCTCCATGGCTTTTGTGAAATGGACTGGCTCATTGTGCTGGGAGCCCTACCTGACTGGATGCTGAATCCTTCTGACAGCTCTGAGGTGGAAGAATCATAACCATCCCTGTGGTATAATAGTTCATTCATGCCTTCATGTATCAATTCAATAAATATATGAGTGCCTATTTGCCTAGCACATAGGAGCTCTGGTGGCAGAGTGAGTAAGGCATTTGGCTGCTAACCAGAGGGTCAGTGGTTCAAACACACCAGCTGCTGAATGGGAGGAAAATGGGGCAATCTACTTCTATAAAGATTTACAACCTTGGAAACCCAATGGGGATCACTATGAGTCGGAATCGACTTGATGGCAGTGTGTTTGAGTTTTTGTTTTATGTGCCTAGCACACCAGGCTCTGTATGTGGGAAACAAGGCAGACATAGCCCCATTCTTAGGGAGCTCACTATCTAGGGGGAAACAGCTGTGGTCTTAATCTCCCATCTCCTGAGGTCCTGCCGTATGCCTGCGCGCCAAACGCTCACCACTCACTCGAACCTCACAATAGTTGGCTTTTCCCGGCACTTCTATTATTGTGTCCATTTTACAGCTCAGAAAGCGGAAGCAGGTGGAGGGAGCCCGTTGCCTGTGCACCACAGCTCACGGGGCCTGAGGAATCAGATCTCCAAGGCCCAAGTTCTTAACCTTGGCGGGACCGGCCCTGGGGACACTGATCACCTGTTTATGAGGCTTGGTGTCTTGCTGTGTGACAGCAGCTGCCCTCGGGCCCAGCCTGTCTGAGCCTTTTGTCTTTACGCAGTTCTACCAGTGCCTAATAATGCAGCCTGAGGTGGGGGAATGGTGAGTTTGGGGTCCCTCGGAAGGGGTCCATTTCTGGGTCCTGTGCGTGTTTCTTTCTGCACTGGAAATTCCCACAGGTTCCTCCCTCCACTCCCCCAACACATACTTGTAACTGAGCTAGGACTCAGTGTCTGCCTCTGCCTGTGGCTTGCTGCATCACTGCCTGAGATCTGTAAATAATAACCCAGGTGATAGTCCTCGCTTCCTCTCCCCCATATAGAGAAGTCAACCCAGTGCCCCCTAAGGGGTGGTGGTCCAGGAGTGGCCCTGGATGAAACAGGGAGACTGGTGATGGATGGATGGACTGTCTGAGGTATAGAAAGACGGGGCTGTGATGAGCCATACTGGCCCCACCGCATTCCCCACTATGGGGAACCCCTTCCTCCTACCTTCCTCTGACTCATCTCAAAAACTTCCTTTGGGCAGCCGCTTCTAAAACCCATTCTCATCTTCTTTAGAGTACCAGACACCTGAAAATCGGCTCTTAGAGATCACTGAGCCATTTCCCAGGTGGAAAACACTGAGGACAGGAGCTGCCCAAGGTCACACTGGGAGTAGGAAGACGGAGCTGGAACCCTGGTCCAGAACAAGACTGTATTGGGGCGTCCCGTAGTCTCTATGTTTGGGGTCCAGTATTCCTATCTCCCATTACCCCCTCTCATAATGGATCATCGCCCCCGGTAAAGCAGCAATGGGCCAGTCCACGCGTTTCCCTCCTCCAAGCCGCTCAGTCCCCAGTTACCCCAGGATGTTCAAGTTTCCTTCCGGGACGCTATCGGGCTATCGGGCCCCGCGCGCTCACCTTTGGCCTTGCCTTTGCGCCACCGCCGGCGGCTGCGGATTCCGGCCCCCTCCTTGGCCTTCTTCGAAGCCAGGGCTCCAACAGCCCCGGAGGGCCCCGTTCCCCTGGCAGACTCCATCAATTCTCGGCGGTCCCCGCCGTCCCAGTGCGGGGGCCAATTCCAATAGCCAGGCCCCGCCCCAGAGGCCAATCCTTACTACACACCACGGCCGGGCCCCCATAGCACCCAATCCGGGGTTTGCTCCTCTCTGGGTCCCGCCTACTGAACGATCCTTGCCTCACTCCACCGTCGGCCCCGCCCCCAACCTCCAGAGCCTAAGGTTTGGCCCCGCCCCCTCGCGTGCATTAAAGGGCCCGCAGCCAAGAAAACTGCAACCCTGAAGGCGGCGAAAAGCGTCCTTCGGGCAGGACTACTGGGGGTTCTCGCTGGGGTTACCTCGACGGGGAAGCCCCGATCCTGTCAGTTGCTTCTCCCTCCCACTCACCTTCCCACGTAGGGGTGCCCTAGAACGCAGGCCAGCCCGCCAGCCGGAGGGGGAGAACGGGGCGCCGTTGACCCTCAGCATAGGGGCGGGGGGCGGGCCAGCTCCTTAGGCAATTCGAAGTCAGGGCGGGGCACCAGCATTGGAGGCGTGGCTGGGCCTGTGGGCCGTTGGAGAAGCCCCACCTTCTCCCCTTCTGCCTCCTAGTTCTCCTACTGCTCTCTACCTTGGGGTTCTTCTGTTTCTCTGCTTTTTCCTTACCCCATCACACCCCGCAGCCCCTGCTATGAAAAAGGGAGGGAAGGAGAACGTGCGGCGCCTGAGCACTAGCTCGAAGCCGCAGGCCTGTGCGCAGAGAGGAAGTGGAGGGAACGAGGCATGCCTTGGAAAAGGCGGGAAACTGGAGGCTCCAGGTTCGCGCATGCACACACAGGCAACCGCCCCCAAGACGCTTTAGGAGCGACGGCGCGTTATTTGCGATGACGTGGGGTTGGGCGTCCCTTCGAGCTTGGGCTCTGGGATTCCAATCCTCGGCGTGGAAGAAACAGGCCTCGAGCTTCTCTCCATTCCATTCCTTTGCCAGTCTTCTCAAAACATACACCCAGCTGTGGAAAAGCCTCAGCTCTGAGAGAGCGGTCCAGCCCTTTGGGAGGGACAGGTCTCTGACCCAAGAGACCACCATTGCCTGGTCTTAGGACAAACTGGCCTTGTAAGTACCTCCCTGTCTAGATTGGGCCTATTGTTCTTTTTTTTCTAACTTCCCTTTGGGATGTTTCCGTAATTAAACATTCCATGGATAAAAGCCTTCCTCCTCTCACGATAGGGGTTTTCAGCCTAGAGAGGAACATCACAGCGGCGCTCCACAAAGACGGAAACTGCGCCGCAGGGAACCGTTGCCTGTTTCAGAGTAGCCCCAGAAGGGCCAGAGGAAGTGAGGGGCTGCTTCCCCTGATCCTGTTCTCCCTGCCTTTGCAACCATCATCCCTGACCTTGCCTGTGACCTCACCTCCCCCACACCCCCAGGCTGCTCCTTCCTGAGAACCACACGCCCCAGGCCTTTAGGTCTAGTTGGACTGGGACTCCCCTGTGGAGGCAACCAGGCAGGAGAGCAAGTGTCTTCCTAACAGCAGAGGGCAAACCTGGCCCTGGCCGAGATGCCCACCTGGATGGAAACTCCATGAGGGGAAGGACCACACACACTCAGCATTGTGTTGCTGGTGAGTGTCTGCCACAGAGCGGAGGCTCAATCCATTTTTGTGGGTGAATAAACATATACAACTCTCCCAGTGCCCTGGCCCGTAGTCCAGAGCTGTTTCCCACCTCTACTGCATTTTCCCCAAGTCTTCAGGAAGAAGCTGCTTAGTGCAAGGAAAAAAGTTAGATCCTACCTTTAGATTTTGGCTTTGCCAGTTGCTAATTGCATGGATTTGTGCAAGATCCTTTACTTTTTTACGCCCCAACTTCCTCACCTATAAATGGTGACTAATCTTCAGGTCCTGAGGTGGCAGGAAGGGTTTGTGCTTAGCTGCTAACCTAACCTGAAGCGTGGTGGTTTGAACTCACCCAGTGGCGCCAAAGAAGGACCTGACAGCCTTCTTCTATGAAGACTGCAGCGGAGAAAACCCTATGGAGCAGTTCTAAACTGTAACACATGGTGTTGTCATGAGTCAGAATTGACTCAATGGCAGCTAACAACAACCACATTTATGTCACAGGGTTATCAAAAGATTACCTGACGTGCTATAAGTTCTTAGTATTTCCTTTTTTCCTAAGTATTTCTAGAATGAATGAGGCTCCAGGTCCTCTGAGCTCAACTCACCTGTGTCCTGGTAGTACCTGTAATTTTTGCCCTTGGTTCTCTTCCCAGAATATCCTGACGTCACTTCATATCCAAGTTTCCCTTTCAAGTTCACCTTCTGCCCATAGGCCCCAGTTTCTTCCCTCATGGCTGGAGAATCTGTCTCGAACGAAGTCCCTAGATCTGATCCCGAGTCGGAATCTGTGGCCCACTCAAAAATTGTCTTCCATTCTGCAGCCGATCGCTGAAGGGATAGTTCTTGCAGTTTTGCTAGAAATCCCCACTCAGTCAAAGATCCCTGTGGAGACTTGGCTCCTGGAGCTGGAGAGGTTTGCTGGGTGGTAGTGTCTGGCTCTTGTTCAAATCCCTCTTGGGATGTGGATTCCGTCTGGGCAGGAGGTCCCTGTTTGGAGCCGGGTCTGGCCTGAGCTGTAGGTGTTGATTCAGCTGCTTCTTGAGCTAGAGGTGGTTTTCCTGACCCAGCTCTCAATTCCGATTCCTGTTGGATTGTAGACTCTTTTCCTCCCTGCTGTGAGGCAGCATCCTGTTGAGTGACGGGCACCTTTTGGATGGAAGGCGATTGCTGTAGTGCAGGCTCCTGGTGCGAAGCGGATTTTTGATGGGTGTCAGGTTCGTGCTGGGATTCAGCTTCATGTTGGTCAAGGGGCTCCTGCTGGGTGAGGGATCTTTGCTGGGAAGCAGGCTCCTGTTGGATAATGGATGCCTGCTGAGTCCTAGATCCTGACTGGGTTAGGGGTGTCTTTTCTGGCTCAGGCTCTGGCTGGGTTTTAGGTCTCTGGGGTGGCTCAGGTTTCCAGTCTGGCCTAGATACTGACTTAGAACCTGCTTCCACTGTTACTTCTCTTGGGGGAGAAGTTGCTCTCCCAGGCTTCATGCTTCTGGGCCCCTCAGGCCTCCCTCTTCACAGACCCCTCATTGACTTCTCATCATGGCACCTCCTTTTGGGTTCCACTCCTTCATCCTGGCATCCCTGGTCTTCTTCCTGAAGGCAGTTGACAAGTAGGCTGACCACTGCTGGCGCCCAATTCTGTGCCTCCTACTTTGGGGGCAGGGATTAGGAACAAGAGGAGCCTGTGTGCCCAGCACTCTCCTACCAGTGGGGTGGGGCTTGCCCTCTTGTGTCATAGATAGGGCCCCGCCCCACCCACCACTCAGTTAAAATGTTTCTTCTCATAAATAACATAAACATCCCAATTTAGCCTTATGTTTCATCTGGGATGACAGAAACCAAGATTCACATGAGTGTTCATTTTTTCCCCCCGTCCTCATCTGATGTTTGAGGAAAAGGTCAAAGGGGCAGGCAGTCTCCATACCGCAGTAATAATTTCGTTGCCGTCAGTCATTTCTACAGTGGTTGCCAGTTTAATGTTTCTGTATTATCCTCCCCATGCTCAAAAAATTGTGACATCTTCCCATTCTTAACAGCTGGGAGCTCCTTTGAATGGCATTTGAGATCTTCCATACCATCACCTGGGAGCTCTGGTGGTGTAGTGCCTAAGGCATTTGACAGCTAACCAGAAGGCTGGTTATTAGACCAGCGACTCCTTGGAAGGAAGACTGGGCAATCTACTTCCATAGCGATATTGCTTCGGAAGCCCAAGGAGGGGTCACTATGAGTCAGATTCAACTCGATGGCAGTGAGTTTGGTTTGGTTTGGTTATACCATCACCCCAGCCCTGAAATATGGTTCTGCATATATGTCTTCTGTACTATATTGGAAACTTGTAGAGTACAGTGACCATTGATGATGATGATGATGATGATGACCAAAAACCAAACTTACTGCCATCGAATAGATTCCAACTCATTGACTCCATTGGGTTTCCAAGGAGTCTGTACGTAAAGATCTTTACGTAACAAGACTGCCTCATCTTTCCTCTGTGTAGCAGCTGATGGATTTGAACTACTGACCTGTTTTTTTATTTTTATTGTGATTTGGGTCAAAGTTTACAGAGCTAATTCATTTTCTAGACAGCAGTTCATACACATTTTGTTTCATGAATTGATTGCAGTTCCCCACAATGTAATAGCTCTCTTTCCACTTCCTCCCAGTGGTTACCTCTTCCCTGTGTATTGCTGCCCTCTGAGCTATCTCTGTGCAAATACTGCCCTTTTGATCTTCCAGGAGTGATTGTTCTAAGGAGTGTGTCTACCTGGTGTAAATGGTCACCCCATATGGCTGTTTGTTGTTTGGCTAGAAGTCATGGGAGTGAGTTCAGTTCCAGGGCTGAAGGGTAACTAGGAGCCATAGTCTTGGGGGTTTCACCAGGCTCTATCAGAGCACTAGGCCTGCTCTTTTATGATTTTGAGTTTTGTTCCACATTTTCTCCCACTCTATCCAGAATCTCCTGCACTGATTCCTTTCCAAATGGTTGACAGTGGTAGCCAGGTACCATCTAGTTCTGGTCTCATGGTCATATAGGTCCACAAGTCCCTTGGACTAATTGTTTCTGTGCATCTTTGTTTTTCTTCATTCTTCTTTGCTCCGGACTGTTGCATTTAGATGGCCACTTGCAAGATTTTAAGGCACGGCACATAACAACAACAACAACAACAACTGGTCACCAAGTAGTGTGTCGAACAATGTTTTTGTGCAGTACGTTATGCCAACTGAACCACTGAGTTTTGAGTTAGCAGCCGGTTGTCTTAACCACCACACTACCAGAGCTCCTTGATGAGAATGATAGTAATCCGAAACAATGAAGGCTTTCCATGCCAGGAAACTGTGCCAAGTTGGTGTTTTTTTTTCCCAAACCTATTGGGCAATCTACTTCTGTAGTGATACCACCTTGGAAACCCAAGGAGGGGTCGCTATGAGTCGGATCTGACTTGACGGCAGTGGGTTATATTATCTTTAATGAGACCATATCTGATTCACTGTTATACTGACTTTCTTTGCTCCACCTATCTCTTACCCCAGAAGGCTTTGTTGAATGAGTGAAAGAACAAGACGTTGGGCAGTGCAGAGAGAAGAGGGGTTGGGTAGGAAGAAGTGTGTGTAGACTCTGAGTTGGGCGTGGAGTGAACACAGTGAAGTGGGTCATCTGGATCAAATGGGAATTGCTAGGCCCCATTTAAAATGAACAATTTCCCCTGTTACGTTTAAACATATTTATTGATCTCTGTTTGCTCCATGCTTGGTTAGATTTAAGGTCAGGTGAGACCAGGTAGGGAAGCCAGGTTTCCTGGTTCCTGTTAGGTAATTAAGCTGAAGTTTGGGTAGAAGGTAGGCCACAGGAAAAGATTGACATAAGTCACTAGGAAGAGCAACAATCAAAATGACCTTGTGAGAAATGGTTTTTGGAAACACTGGAGTGATCCCTGGTGGGTGAGCAGAAGGGAGGGGAGCAAAAGGTGAAGAACATCCTCAAGGTGCCCACATTGCCTTCTTGCCTGAGCATTGACCCAGGAGAGGGTCCTCGAAGCTAAATAGGCAGAGCTAAGCTTGCTAGCTGGCATCGTTGGAGAAATTGCTGGCAGGCTCTGGAGAGCTTGTTAGGCTTCCTGTGGTGCCTTCGGTGTCCTGGGGTGAAAGTAAAGGGAAGAGGCTAGTTTTGAAAACATTGTTAAAATTTAATTTGTATGAGAGCTTTGAAAATTATTTAAAATTGTCCCATGGAGGAAATTGAAAACAAACTGTTATACAAACAAATCTACATCTATCCAGTATAACGAACTTTTCCCATGCCAACCTCCATTCCCCAGAGTTCACCATTGTTAATGTGGAATACTACTCACATAGGGAAGTCTGTAAGGCTTATTTGTGCTGTCCAAGAAATGATAATAAAACAGTCATAAAACTGTCAAAAAGCTTGGAAATAGAATTGTCAGCCTCCTTTTCTGGTCACATCTCTCTCCCCCTTACAGAGGTAAGCCTGACTTTAATAATAATCATTTACTTTTTTTAAAATTGTTTTTACCACTTACATAGACATTCCTAAATAATTTAGCGTGTTTTTGAATGTTAGGTATGTGAAATCATACTGGAGATAGTCTCTTGTGACTTATTTTTTACTTGGTGTTATGGTTCTAAGTCTCATTTATATTGTTACGTGTTAACTCATTCTCTGTGATATTCTGCTACACCATAATTTATCTTATTTACTCCACTGTCAATAGACCATTGGAAAGTTTGAAATTTGGGGCATTTATGAGCAATATTGCTATAAAATTCTTGTACCTGTTTTCTGTGTACATAAGCATGTGTTTCTTTTGAGCGTAAATGTGGAAGTGTAATTGCTCAATAACAGAGTATGCAGTTTAAACTTAAGGAGATAACTATCAGCATTTTTTCAAAGTGATTAGCCGATTTATACTCACTCCTATTATGGATTGAATTGTCCCCCCAAAATTATGTGTTGTAAATCTTGTGGTTATAATCCCATTCATGAAGGGGTTCTCTTTGTTATGTTAATAGATGGTATCAGTATAGGGTGTGTTTTAAGTCAATCTCTTTTGAGATCTAAAAGAGCAGATCAAGCAAGTAAATAAGCAAGCACAAGCAGCCATGAAGATACAAGCCACATTCTTGTCAAGGAACCTAGGAATAGAAGCTAAAAAGGGATAAGGACCTCCCCCTAGGGTGGCCAGAGAGAGAGCCTTCCCCTAGCTCCAGCGCCTTGAATTTGGACTTCTAGCCTCCTAAATTGTGAGAAAATAAATTTCTGTTTGTAAAGCCACTTGAAACTTACTGGTTTTCTTCACACTGGCCTTGAAATGATCACAGGGACACTGCTTCCTTGGCGG